GACAATTCATGATCAAAGGTAAAATGTTGATTTGATGAAGTCAATGAAAAGTTGAAAAGTAAATAATATATTAGACTTTATAACAAAAAACCAAGCCTATGTATTAAAACATTCAATAAAGAAATACTATATTAATTTTTTTATTTATTATAAACATTTTATTTTATCAATTTGGAACTAAATTTCCTTCCCTCTGATATTAATATTGGTTTTTCAAATTTGCATAATGATCTTCAAGCCAATAAATTTAATTTTTGCGTGATATCTGGAAGGGAGATCACAACATAATTTAGCCAATGAAATCAAATGTCCACGATGCTGATTGGTTATATGTAATTTTTTTAATGATCTACATACCAAGAAAACATGCAGTTTTCAAATTGTTATTTCTTCCCCATTTTCAACAATATAGGTATTAAATGTGTGTGAAAAGATAGTAAATAGATAGTATTTTAAAAACTCAGAGTTATTTGCATTTTAAAAAGTTCACTATTGTAAAATATTCATTCAAAATTTTCCTTGATTGCAATACTTTTTGCTCTATTATATAAAACTTTCAAAAACCATATAAAATTAACATATTCTCACTGTATCAGTATTCTACATACAGTTTTCAATTGAAACATTTTAATTTTTTGCAAACAGACAAATTTTGCAGGAGAAATAACAGCTTAAAGTTTTGATACTATAAATTTCATGAAAAAATCCACATATATATAAATTTATCAACCAATATTGAATACCCCAATAAATGGTGTTTACCTTTATTTACCTCAACATCTTCTGTGATGTCAATGGAAAGTAAATTAACAGAACAAAGTATAAGTTAATCAATGTTGTAAACATTATACCAAATAAATAATAAATAAACATGAATGAAAATTTTTTTTTTGTATATTTTTTTATCTCTCTTCATCAATTCCCCTGTTTCCTTTTCTAACTCATCTTTTTCCTCTTCTAAATCTTTCTTCTCACACTCCAAAATTTTCTTTTCTTCCTCCCCTTTTTCATTTCTTATTTCCCCTACTCAGCTCCCTCAACTCCTCTTCAAATTGTCCAACTTCTCCTTGATTTTCTCCAAATTTTTCTTGGCCTTTCTTTGTCTTTTCAAGTTGTTTTCTAATTTCTTCAATGGTTGACATTTTTTAGAATGTAGAAATTTAAAAATTAATTATTGATTTAGATTGTAATTGACATAATAATTAAGTCATGTGCTCTGAATAAATCAGCTTACCATGTCCAGCCATTCATGGCCAACTTATCAATATAATAAATCGGGAATTTTCAAAGTGCTGGGACTCAGCCAATTTTAGTTTAGTATTTTTTGAAGCTGATTATAGATGATTCACAAGGAATTTAGCTGTGCGAATCAGTGTGGGGAATGCGGTGTGTAACATTACACCAATCAAAATTGTAATTTTTGGAGATGGTTTTTGTTCTATATATTTACACAACGAAATTTCAACACTAGTGAGAATCCTGAGTAAATTTAAAATAGCCACTAAAATCATATATTAACATCTAAAATTTGGTAATTAATACTGACATTTATGGAAGTTTCAATGAATTTTAATACACAAAAATCATGTGAAGTTAGGGTGTCATACTATTAGAACTATTAGATCAACAAATATAATTAATGTCATTATGGTAATAAAATTTTTAATGTTACACTGACCATTATCAAAACATTATCCTTAAAAGGAAATTTTGCAAATAAAGAAATGGAAGGCAAAAATTACATAACTTCAAAGCCCATAAACTTTTTTTTTCATTAACAAAATTAGAAAAGGTTCTTTATATTGATGAACTAGAATCATCATGCTACACTATATTCAAAAACAGCAATAAAATCTTTTTTTTTCAATGGGCCAGTTACATTATGAAATTGAGTGTTTTTCAGAATATGATTTTTGAAGAATGTTTTTTTCACAATTAGCATTTTCTCCCCTCAAAAACCTCTCTAAATCGATAAACTATAGATACCAAACTACAATTTATCTAAATATGGAATTAAAACCTTACTCTTTGTGAAATAGTAGCATTCCAAAAATATGTATAATTGCTTTGCACTCAAAAAACAAATTTATTGATCAACATTATGTTATATTACTTAATTTTGATTTAATTATAATATGACACCTCCCAATGTGAAGCACAATTTGAAGATTTTGAAATTGACATTTGGCTGCGTGGCGCAGAAATGGGACCACATGAACTATATATAAAAATTCCAGATGTATTTGATACATTGGTTTATAAAGACTGATGATCATTCCACATTGACTTTCAGTTGAGACTTTTCAAAGAATTTGTTCAAAAATTTATATGTACTTGTTTATAAAAAATTTCAAAACAACATAAATAAATGTTTATTCAAGAAAAATGCATATTATCACATGGATAAGATTATTATGTGGATTTATAAACAATTGAAGTAAGAAATATTTTTGTCTACAAAATGACATTATTTATTATGTGCATTTTTGTACAATCATTATTTTAAAATGTATGTGCATGTAGTGCATTTGTTCAAATCACATAGTTGGTTTGAACCAAAAACTCTTAATGATTGTGGTTAAAGCCAGTTTGTATGTATGTAATCTTTAAACAATATCATCAAACAGAATCAACCAACAAGAGAAATCTGAAAGGTAATTTTCTTTGAATCAAAACAATTCATCAAATAAACAAAGCCTAATATTTAGTTCAATAGATAAAAATAGTGTTTTACAAAAGATTCTCATCCAAATGATAAATAACAATTTTAATAAAAGGGCAATTCCGCATTGGGGAATTGAACCCCAGCCTTCCCGGTGAGAGCGGGAGATCCTAACCACTAGACCAATGCGGATTGGTATTGAGGCCTTTGTCATTTATTTTATTAAATGAATTTTTTTCATTCCAAATAAATTTTTGATAATCATGATATAGTCATGCCTCCATAAAAACACTGTTGGTTGAGCCAAAATATTTTCTTAGGAAGAAATATTCTTACCTCTATTAAAGAACAATAATGTCACCACATGCTGTCACTATAGAAAGGTTTTCAGTTTTGTTAATTGTTCTTTATTAAATGAAGGCTCATTATTAAATATAAATTATATCAATATTAATTATCTAATAATTATCAACTTTTGCTTGTACTTTAGATCCATCAATTAATTCTTTCATAACAAGAAAGACAATTTCTAAATATTTACAATTTATCCATATCATTATTGTTATTTCACTCTTTGAACCTAATAACTTTCTTTAAAGTTTCATGAGTTTTTTTGATAATAACCATTGGTAGCAATGGTTATTCAGTTAACAAATTATTAAATGGATTGACTCATTATCATCATAAATTTTGGTGAATATTTGTAATGCATATTTCCATTCTAAGCTTTAAAATAAAATTTCAAAATATGTTACACATGACATTTGTTCTTATATTATTAGAAATGACTTTGAAAAAAATACTATAGTTCTGTACAGAAATTATTATCAAATCAGTTTATCATAGCAAAAGGAGTTCTTATAAGCATTTGTTCTTATGTGGAGTAAGGCTGTATAAACAAATAATAATAATAACAGTGAATTTTTTTACATGAAATAAATAATTATTTTTATTTATTTATTATATACTTATTATTATTATATTTGATTTTTTTAAAAAAATTGTTTTAATCATATTATGATGATAGTCTATCAAATACATGTTTAAATAAAACATCACTAACTCGAAAAAAGCTATGGTGATTATAATCCAGATCCACCAACTCTTTAATTTGAGCCAATTTATCCATTAAATCCTCATTAAATCCTATAATATAGAATCTTAAAAAAAAAGGAGGAGCAGTAGGAAGAGAATCTTTCCTACTTTTATTATTTTTCTGTAAAAAATCTAATAATGGATTAATCATAGTAAATTCATTGACTCCATTTGCTTGAAAAGAAACAAATTTTAGATTTTTTGTTGATGCTTGACACAGAACTTTAATAATCTTGTCAAAATTTAAAACATTATCAATTAGATGTAATGAGAAGACTTCCAGTTTATCACATGATTTTAATATTTTAAGCAATTGTTTATCTAAACTATTATCATAGATTATTGACAAATGTTTCAGATTTTTGCAGTTTTCTCCAATCGAACTCAATAAATGTTTGATTGCATCTGTTGCAGGGGGTAAATCGGATAAACCAGCAATACATAAAGTTTGAAGATTTTTACCATTCAAAGTAATGAAATTTCCCATTTCTATAATATATTCTGTTGTGTGTGTAAGAAAAAAGAATTTCTTTAGATTTGGGAAAGTGATTGAACTCAATTTGTTAATAATAATTTTATTTGATGTACTATATGAATTATAAAATTGATAACCATCTTTTAAAAACAAAGCTTCTAAACCATTAGAAATTGGTGGTGGTGATGATGATGACGATGGTGATGATGAGAGTGTATTTAATATTTTATATGCTAATGAATCATTATCAACTTTAATACATATATAAAGTTTTTTTACATTGTTTTGTGAATTTAATAAAACAATCAAATCATCATTATTATCATCCTTATATCCAATACTATTAATGTCTAATATTTGAATACTTTTACTTGTTGAATTTATTAATGCCTTCAATAATTCTGATTGGTTATTACTTGAACATTTCAATTCCTTAATATTTGAAAAACAACCATAAAGAAGATTTGATAAAGAAGAGGAATAATAGCAAGAAACAAAATCCAAATCAAGTATTTGAATTTTTGAATATTTCATAATCAAATTTATCAACTCTCTAGTTAAAAGATTTGTCTTCAATGATTTAACATCTTCATCATCCTCATCAATTAATTCCTTGACTAGTTCTGGATTATCAATTGACAGTATACGTGCAAACTTTGAATAATTATGTGAAAGACCTTTGTTATTATCGGTGCTGCTGCTACTATTATTATGCTCGTCTATTAATAATTTAAATGTTAATTTAATCTGATTTTCTCTTAGAATGTTTTTTGGTCCTATCAATAATAAACCATTAATTAATATTTTGATAGTATCCATTGAAGAAAATGGATTTTTCCATAATTTTCCGATATTAATCTCACACCACAATTTATTAACCAATATACACGAATATAATGTTCTATAATCATTTTCGAAATAATCGAAAATTTCTTTAAGACAATCGATTGTTAGATTTTTCATCCTTTGATGTTCTGGAATAAAAAAAATTAAAAAATATTCGTTACACACAATTAGGAAAATCAAACACCGTATTATCTCGAATATAAGCATCACTATTTTAACACGTGGATTGGTAGTTCTTATATTGAGACAATACGGTATTGACAACCATCTTAAAAGAAGACGATGAACCCTCGACTTTCTTACAGACGCGAACAAATAAACATTGATCTAGTTGCGCATTTACTCGGGCAGACATTCCTCAAGAAAAAATTACAAATCATCAAGCTAGAAGCAATTAGTTTACAATAATGAATTAGAAAGATAGGAATAAGAATTACAGTAGACGAACCAATTGATGTTTGGGGATGTGCTGCTGTCAATATTTTATTTGGTTCTTGTGAATATATTAAATTAGTTGCAACAGAACACCTTGAGACCGTCAATAACACTACAATTAATTAATTCATTTGATGAAATATTTATACCTTTTAATTGAAAGCTTTTCAAGTTTTATTAGCAACAATTCCAAAAATGGAACATAAGTAATGCATGTATTGCTTGTATATTAAATTTAGTGTATTAAATATGAAAACTTTGGTCCATTAGAACAAGTAGTACATAATAATAGGTTTGTAACGCATAATTCGAGCCATTCTAATGAATGAGTAATAAAAAAAAAACCATTGAAATATACACGACACGAGAAACATCAAAGAAATATGTACTTTATTTCGTTCGGTACTATTTAATATTGTAACTCTAAAATAAAAATAAATGTATAAATAATAAATAATTGGATTCTTTCATTCATTATTTCTCTTTCACCTTCTCACAGTTATCTCTCATATTCAACAAGAAAATTCTTCTTTCATTCTTTATTAAAAAAAAAACAAAATCTTTTATTTCAAGAATTTCAAAAACAACAATCACAATTTTAATTTCAATTTAATAATATATTCACACAATTTATTTATTTTTGTTTGAAAACAGATCAAAAAAAATTTTGCATTCATAATATTTTTCTTCTTTTATTTCCAGATTCTTATTTTCAGAATAATAATTATAAAGAATTATTATCAAGAGATATATATTAAAGTTATTGCAGGAAGATTTTTTGATGATGGTCGATAATAATAATTATTTATTTAGACAACTTGGTAATTTCTCTGCCAAAACACATGTATAAAAATATATTATATATATATATATATATATATGTGCATACATACATACATACATATATATATTGTATTATTTATATTTTATATTTGCATTTTTGCAGAAAAAGAAATAACAACTAAATGATTTGTAAATCTGAAACCGCACTTAATCTTTTTTTAGCTTTATAATAGATTATTAAAACATTATAAACCCTCCAAATTATCCTATTAAATATCAAAAGGCCACTAGTGATCAAAGCCATGAAAGGAATAATGTCAGTTGTTGTCGTATTCAAATAGTAAATTATTTGAATAATAAATTGTGGAATATCTTCAATAAATAAATTCATCATTCCACCATAAAAAAATAAACTCTGATGTTTAAGACCCCTTTGCTGTGACGACAAAGGTGCTGAAAAAACTTGTAAATTGAAGATTTTAGAATCCAAGATTTCTAACATTTCAACGTCGGCACTTGATAATATTGTAATCACTGATGCTATTCTTGAATATTTTTGAAACCATTTGGCAAATTCTCGATTGGATTTAATCTCGATTATAAAAATACTTATTGCAAGCGAAAAATTATATATCAACGGAATTACTACACATAGTAAACTATAATGAAACAACGTAACAAATGTTATTATTATTTTGAGATTTTTTTTTGGAAGAAAAAAAAAAGAAAAATTTACTTTGGAATAAATAACCGTGAGACCTTTCTTGAATGAAACACAAGAAATAGTATATCGATCACTAAATCACCAAGTACAAAAGCTGCAAGAAGTATCGTTAAATTATTTGCCTAAAGAATAAGAATAATATATATTTAATTGAAATGATATAAATAACAATAGTAATTTGATTACTTGTAAACCCCCCCCCAAATTTACCTCTTTGTTTTTATTTCTTGCAATCAAGTAAATAATTAATAACGCAAGAAAACATCCACCAAATGCACTTAATATATAAATGCAAATTTTATTTGATTTTTTCGAAATATTATTATCTATTCCAATCAACAAAAATATACACATTACTAAAAATTATTAGAAATAAATGGAAAATCTTTACAGATATACATACGTATAATTACAAATTGTTTTTCACTATCCAAATAACGAGTAATGTTGTGTTTAGAAATTGCCGTGTAATCTTTATTCGCGATCAAGCTATTTAAATCTTTAATAATTGTTTCAACATCCTTTTCCTGTTTATTATTATTCAAAGTGATTGTCAATTCAAAAAGCACTCGTTCTTTGGCAGCCGTTGAATCGATTTGTGTATGGGATGAAAGTTTCAATCTTGATGGAGAAATCGGAATTACGCTAGATAATTGTTCAATTAAAAGTCGTCGAAATTCATCAGGATCATCATAACTTTGATAAACTTCTGTTCCTTCAGTTGTCAAACAAAGTAATCCTGTCGCTTCTTCTTCTACAAAAAATAAAATAAAATAAAATTATAAACAAAATTTTTATTATTAGAGAAGAGAAATAAAATTTACTTGAAATTGGGTAATTCTTTTGTGACCCCAGTGTAAAGGTCCAATAAAATTTCGATATACCAAGGAGTGGTTCATTTTCTGGTTGAGATTTAACAAAATTATCATTAATCACCACAAAATATCGTGAGCCAGGCTCATTAAATGTACTCGGGAACACTGTTATGTTAACAGTATAATTATCATTACTCAGGTTACAAAGTCCTGCCGATGCTGAAAACGTTTGTCTAAAATTAGTCATCGATGATAAATCATCACCATTTTCGGGGTATTTATATACTGTGATATTTTGGGTGGATAACGTCACCGGAATTTTATAGGTGATTGATAGTGTGGTGAGAGGAGTTGTGGAATTGATTTCGGGAAAGGTTGAATTTATTACGGAGTTTTGGAAATTCGGATTTATTGCTTGAGATTTTTTTAGGAAATTTGCGTAAATTTTAATTTCATTTTTATTTTTTTGTTGTACAATTCCATACACCGTATTATTATGATAAAATACTCCCATATTTACACTGGTACCTTTCACACCCTCCCAATTCTCTACAAATTTGCCATCATCATCCACCAAATAACCTGTAATAGCGTCCTTTTTGAGATGTGTCACAAGAAATCCACCCTGATATAAACAATAAACAGACCAAATTGTATTTTCGTAGCCTTTCTCGATTGATAATTGTTTAAATTTAGTAACTGATCCGCTCGATAAGAAGCCGATTTGATAAATGGCTTCTAATGATTTTAGAATGGGTTTATTTTTATTTTTGGTTTTTTTTTTCTTTGTTATCTTATCAACAATAACAGTTTTCCGAAAATGCAAGATACAAACATTTCCAATGCCATTGTTAGCAATTTTACATTTTTGTATTTCTAGCGAATCTAAAATTTCGGCTGTTTCATATATCAGATATGGTCTTGGGACTATATTTAATTCGGGTTTTATGAATGTTGCATACACAGACCATTTAGGTTCGTAGTATGTATCATCTGAATGCGTGAGGTTTATTTTTGTCACTGAAATCAATGCGTAACCACCTTCTGCCGTAGAAAGTATCGCAGAGTTGATATTCTCATTTCCAACCTTATCTGTAAACTCTAGTTTTCCACTACTAATTTGTTGGACATCGCCGGTTATCGGATCGCTAATCAAATAGAGATTTATTTATTTAATTTTTATATAAAGAAATAAAGATGATTAGCTTGCTAAATAAAAAAACCTACGGATGACTAAAAATTTGCCAACTCCTAGATGTATTTATTGGACGATCAATTGCTATGAAACCATTTTCTGGAACAAGGTTTACTGCAATTTTATGTTGATAATCAGCTCCTAACTTTAACTTTCTATTGGATTTATTGGGTTGATTTATTATTAACAATTATATATTAATATTCTTTAAAAAAACATATATATATATATATATATATATATATTATAAATAATTACTTTGTGACTTTTCCATTAATATTAACAATCAATCCATACAAATCATACGCATAACCAGCGTCATAAGGAGCTTCTTCGACATACGTGACTAACACATATTCTTTGTTTAGGATATAATATTCGATCATATCATTCGGACAAAGATTATAATTTGGTATTGGATAGTCGACAATAAACGATTTGATTATGCTTCCAGGATTATTATCATTATTATCATTAATAGGTAGAAACGCTCTCAAATAGATTTCAGGATATTTGCAAGACGAAGAATCGTTATGATAACGTGCGTATCTTAAAACCATGATTCCATCAGCTGATTGTTTTGTGTTCATAAATCCTAATCTTTTATCGGGATCATTATAAGTTATTTCGAAATCGTAGGATTGGACGATTTGAAATAATAATAACAACGTCATTATTAAAAAAAAATCATGATTTGTGTAATTATGTGAATACGAAAAAAAACATTTTTTTAAAAACATCATTGTTCGTTTATTTAATGATTTTGAAATCAAATGTTTTTTAGAGAAAGGTGGGAGAGAGTGAAGGAGAAGAGAAATAGGAGTAAATAGGGAGATCAAAACTTTTTTGCAAAACATACCGTCGACTAATCGATGTATTTATAATGTTTGGGAATTAAAATTTCATCGGATAATCTCCGACAAACTAAAAATCAAGATAAAACTTGTACGACTAAATACTGAGAATTCGATTCCATATAGTTTAATATGTGTGTGTGTGTGTGATTTGAATCAAATTTATTAAAAGTAGAAGCTCGGTGTTTCCTTTTTTGCACACTTTATGTAAGAAATATATAGATTATTTAATTATTTACTCTGCAAATAACAAACAAACAGTCTCCTTGATAGACTAATTTATCAGTAGGATTTAAATGATGATTAAAGATCGTTACATGAATTGCCTTAATAATATAATCAATCAACTTGATATTTACAGAATATATTTGCTTATTTCGCCCTGGATTGCCACGAAATGAATTACGATAATATTATTTTAAAATAATCAATAAATAATAAATATATTAATTATTATTACCATAATTTGATTTTATAATAATAAGAAAATAAAAATTATTGCCTTGCTTTGTCCCGTTTCTTTTATTATATTATATATACGTGTATATTTCAAAAACCCCTGGTCAACATCTAAATAAACAATACTAATACATGTAACTCTTCTATTCTTCTGTCTTCCCGGTGCCAAGGAAGTGAAAGGTCTTTTTAATTCAACGTGTGAAATAAAATCAAATCATGATGATCCAAAAATTGGTTGATCAAATACTATTCTTAAAAACTATGCATATTAATATATGCATAAAATTAAACAGTATATACTTTAAATTAAAAGATACCCGAACTTTAAACGATAACAAACAAAATACAATATTTGCCACAGAATAAATAATATTTTATTATCGGGAATAATACAATGTAAATTAGTTAATACTAGCGAGCCCTTTCTTTCTATACTATTTTTAGACGACGATCACAATAGAATTGTAAAAGCCGAATTTCAAAAAAATGGGATACAGATCGACGCAAATCCATTCATTTTTAGTAAGCAAATTCCATATTAATAGTAAACTAGATAAATAAAATCGGCGTGTACTGACATTATTATTGAAAGAGTCGACTTTATAAAAAATAATATTATGTATAAATAAAATAACAAATAAAACATTCAAAAAAAAAAATTAAATAAATATTCATGCTAAAGAAGCTTGCTTGTTTTCTATAAACTGTTTGCTTCCATATCATCATTTGTTACAAACGTAATTTATACATACGAGAATGTTCTTTAAACATTCACGAACAGTGTATAAAATCGGTGTGTAACCAACGCAGATTTCAAATTATTATTTAATTCGTAGTCTTTTTAATATTAATATTAAAGGAAAGACATGCGGGTTATAAAATCCGTATTTACGTATATTAATAATATTCTCACGCAGTTTTGTTAAAATATGATTAAATTTAGAAACTATTTGTAGAAAATTATACTGGATTTTTTATATGACCATTTTGTATACAATTAAATTTTATAGATTCTTATTGATGATTAATTATTTATAAAGATTACTATTTATTAATTTTTTTCCTATTGAGTTTATTAAAATACTAATAGAACTCCCGTATATTTACACATGACGTGTGGTTCCCCTACCCATTTCTTTCATTTATATTTATAAGATCAATATAAAGGCAATTATCTAAAAATATTATTTGTACAAAGAAATAATAGTGATCATCTCTCTTAAAATTTTATCTGTGCATGATAGCATTACAGCTTCCTTGGGACGTACGGAAGCTATATATATATTAGATTGATTTGATTTGATTACTTTCTTATCATTATGTTAATAAAGTCACTTGTTAGTTATATGCGTGTGTGTATGTAATGTAGTAACAATAATTATTGATAGAATAATTAATAAAGAAAAGTTGAAGCAGACCAAGAAGTTTTTCACTAGTTTGGACAATGTTTTTTTGATAAAAATGGTCATACGGTCCAACACTGTCTATAACGGATCATCGGGACCAGGAAATTTGTCCGTTATAGAGAGAATCCGGTATAGAAAATTGTACTACATTAAGTCAGTGTTGTGCCATTTATGGTTCCAATAAAATTTCATTGGAACATTCCAACAAATTCTAATTGGAATTGGAATGTTCCAAATGTGGTTCCAATGAAGTTAACCAATGAAATTCAATTAGAGTGTCTCACACACAAATTTTATTGGTCAATATCATTTGAAAATCTACATTGAAACCATATTGGAGCCACATTGGAACATTCCAATAGCATTACAATGTTCCAATTGCACAACACTGCCTAATAGGAATGTGATCATCAATTAAAAAATTCAAAAACCTTTATTTTGTTCCAAATTGTCCATTTTTATATATAAAAAATTTGCATGTAACATGACAGTTTTGGAGTTAACATAATAAAATTGTGCAACTTTGAGGCTTGGTAACATGACATATCAACAAATGAAATCATTATTTTTCAGTGCTACATTTCCATTTTTGGAGGATCTGAAGGGTCTACATGGCCAATAAAAAGTTGTGGGACTAAGTGACTTGCGCAGGACCTCAGTTAATTAAAAAGTTGTAATTTCTACCTTGAATATTTTATTTAAAAAATTCAATTTTTATTATGAAAATACTTGAAGATTTGCTGGTGTTTTTACAAGATCACTGCTCCATTTTCACCATACCAGTTCAATTATAATTATCCAAGGTCCTACTTGCACTATAACAAGATTGTCATCATTATGCAAAATTGTTATGCTAATCAAATTTAGTAATTATTTTTCAAAAAAACTGCTGATAATTGCCAAATATGATTAGAACATAAAATTCCCATTATCATATGAAGAATCATCTATTGCTATGTTTCAAATAGCTGCTTTTCATTTTTTAAATAATAAATTTTTCATTATGTGTAAATTGTAGATATTGCCACAACTATTTTATTTTTAGAAATATTAATAAAAAATATCAATTATAACCTAAAACAAATGAAAGCTAATTATTTGGTGTAATTTTAGGGAAATACTAATGTTGCAACAAATAAATCGAACAGAACTACCTTAGACAAATATGATAAAACAGTTTAAAAAATAATAAAATAATGATGGTGATAAGAGGAGGAATAAATACATAAATACAAAATATTATTTTGATTTAAAAGTAATTTTAAAGAATTTATCATCTGCAAAACTCTTAACCTCAATTTTAAAATTATTAATTGATTTTCTAGTCTTCATTCTTTGTCCATAATCTCCCAAAATTTCTATATGCTGATTTAGTTCAAGTTGTTCACTAAAATATTGTAAATGTTTAAATGGTAGATGACAAAAATGCTTTAATAATTCAAAAATGTAATGTCTTGAGATGAACCAATCCATTTCTAAATATTGAATATTTGTATATATGAATAAATTGATGAACCGTAAAAATATTGTGTTTGCATCATAGATTTTATTACGTTGAATTGGTAAAAAATTGTCAATGGATTTCAAGCTCAACTTGACCAATTTAAGATGATCATTATTTGATTTTACTTTATTATCATTATTATTATTATCATCATTATTATTATCATTATTATTATTATCGTTATGATTATTATTAACATTGGTAGTATTATTATTGGTTACTGATAATTTTCTTGTGAATGTTGTTGTTGAAATCATTGAATAATTAGAATAATTACACACATTTCCATTTATATTATAATTATAACCATCATTACAATAATCTTCATCTCCATCACCTTCATCATCTTGATTTTCATTATCATCATCATCATGTTGACAAATTTGTCTTGGATATAATGTGGAATTATAATGTTCAAGAAAATCCAGGAATTCTTCTAGACCACCAGCAGTACCAACTGTTAATGATAATTCACGTAAATTTGGACAAAAATCCTTTATTGATTCTATTATATAGGGATTTGTTTTAAAATAAAATTCTAGTGTCAAAGATTTCAACTTTTCACCAACTTTTTGCATGATTTGGAGAAAATAATCAGTGAATGGATATTCTTTTACTCGAGAATAATAACTTAAATGTAAACAATTCAAATTTGGGAAATTTGATTTATGAAGAATCCTCATTATAAATCTGATTTGTTCCTTATCAAAACTCAACTTTAATCTTTTAATAGATGGATATTGATCAGGTATTGTGAAATTAGAATAATCATAATAATCATAATAAACAGGAGTTGTAAAATATGATAAATTAAAGTCAATCAATGAATTGGATTGATTTTGCATTAGACTTATAATTACTCCAATATTATCATAACTGGTACCTTCTAAACTAAACTTTCTCAAGGATTTTTGCTTTTCTATTAGATTAGCTAACTGTTTAACAGATTTATCTGATGATTTATGCCCATAATTATCAATTATCATGTTGGAAATATTGTGTGAATATTTAGCTAATCTGCGTAGAAATTTTCCATTGAGAATTTTTCTTTTATAAATTAAAATTTTAAGATGTGATAAACATTGTTTGGCATTAGGATAACTTGGTAAATCTTGAAATAAATCATTATGAAAACTGATATCTCCAATTGATAATTTGACAATTTTATTGGATCTTGAGATGAACACTTTACACAACTCTGCCACTAAATGCATTATATAGGAGGGAGTGACATCTCCCTCATCATCACTATCTAAATCATTACTACTTAGATCATTATCTTCATCACTAACAACAGTATCAGTTGATTGAACTGATGGATAATAAATATTATTGTTATCACTATAGTAATTTTCTCCATATTGATATCTAACCCATTCAGTTGCAGCTTCATGTAATTCTTTGACATCTATCTCCCTTAAATAAGAAGGATAATCAAAGGCTGTTTTTGATTGTGGAAATTTAGGAATATTACTTTCTAATAAAAATTTTACTGATTTTGGACTTAGATATGATACATATACTGAAATGATTTTATAAAGTTTACTAGAGTCGATGCAGAATGAAAATGGAGCCATCCATAAAAGTTTTGTGCCTATATTACACCATAATCTATTCACCAAAGACATTGATCTTAAGCTTGAAATATAGTTCTTATTATATAAAAATATATTCTCTATTACGTCTTGTGGTATTTCTTGTACCATTGTTATTCTTTAGAATTTTAACTATGCTATGAATACTATTTATATGTAATAAAGCAACAATAAATTTTTATTTTGTGTTTATTTTTTTGTCAAACGAAACAATCTTGGTTTTAAAAAAAAAAAAAATCTCATTGTTTTTTGCTTTCAAATTTATTGTGGCACGTTAAAAAAAAAGTTAAATTCAATTACAAAGTAAAGTGGATAAGAAATTTCTTTTATATTTGATAATATCAACAATAATAGAAACTCTTTTCATACATATTACAAATTTATTTAATTCTCAGAAAAAAATATTCAAAAAGGCGTTATTAAATCATGGGGCAAGAACATCCTTGGTGGGGAAATTTTGGTGGTCCAAAACAAAAAGGTATTGTCACCTATTCACTATCACCTTATCAACAACGACCTTTTGCAAATGTGTTTAAAGAAGGAGTATTTAACGTTTATAGAAGAACTAAAGCTCAAATATTTTACGTTGGTGTTCCCATTTCAATTGGTTATTTAATTTATGATTACCATAAGAAAAGACATGAATATTTGTATTCAAAAGCTGGTAAAGAAGAATTAGATAAATTACTTGAATGATTATAATATTATAGTATTTATATTATGTTATAATTAAATAAATCAAAAGAATTATTTTTGCACCGTTCTTTTCATTAATTCATTCTTAAAAAAAAATATTATGTTTATTAATTTAAATGAAAGAATAAAAAAAATATACACTACTACATATACATTTATAAACATTAATATTTATTATAACATATAACAAATAAATCTATTATTATTATTGTAAATTAGCAAATGTTCGTTTATATATATATATATATATATATATATATATATAAATCATTTTCTGTAAATGACTTTTTTTCCTTGGCTAAAAAAAAAAATTTAATATCTGGAAAAAGAAAAACGAAGTTGTATATATATATTGTGAGGAAAAAGAAAGAAACAAAGCTTTAGTGAATTCAGATTAATTTTTTTTAAAAAAAAAAAAAATACAAAAAAAAAGAATCTGATAAATAGTAATTTATAAATAATAGAAATAGTAAAATAAAAAAAAAATATAAAATAAGTAATACAACGAATCAGTTTAATGTGGAGGAAAAAATAAATTTTTGTTTTTTTAACATTTCAAATCATCAAAATCTAATCGAAGTCCTTTTAAGCTATAAAAAATGACTATATTATTAAATCTTGTTACAAATAAAGAAAGGAAAAGCAACAAACAAATAATAGCAATGACATAACATAGATGAAAAAACAAGAAATATATTTATCAGAAACAATTAAATGTCCTTCCTTTAATATAAATTTATGCAAGATAATTATAGACACGTCTATTAATAATAACAATAAAATAAATAAAATTAATAATTAATTAATTTAAATATATATATATAATATATTACAGTAATTATTTATTTACCTATCACCGCTTGCTCTTTCTAAATATTCTCGTTCAATTAAAGCTTCAATTCTTTTCTTAATCATTGGAGGGCTAGGTACAAATCTTGGTTGTAATTGTCTTGAAACTTCGCCAACCAAGTTATTATGTTCCATAGTTTTACGATCTTTCATGATTCTTACAATTGCTGCTTCTGTTTGATGTTTCCTAGCTTCTTCGACCTTTTCTCTTGTATCTTTTCTTTCACCTTCCGTCTCTACTTTGCTTGCAACTGTTTGAATCTTAATACGTTGATAGTTTGCTGTAAAATCAGCATTGTAATAGAATATATCTCCATTATTTATCTCTTTTGATTTAGGTTCCTTTAATAAAATTTTATATTTAGCACAAGCCAAAGACTGAAGATTACGCTTTAAATCTGTTTCTGGAATATCACTTTCACCTTTTATTTGCTTTTTATATATGATAATAAATAATTTATAAATTAGTAATGATAATGATAATCTAATAATAAAAAATAAATAAAAAATTCTAATTACCTCATATGATAAACCCTCGCCATCAAGTAAATCATTAAACATTAGTAAAACAACCATTTGATATGTTGACACGTTGATTTCATGTTTACGTGCTTTAAAGGTAGCTCGAATATCAGCATTTCCCTAAATAAAATAATGATAAATCAAAGTATTAAAAAAAGATTAAAGTCGTAAGAAATAAATTTTATCTGTGCACGCATACCATATTAGATTGCCATGTTAGCCTTCGACCACTATGTCGTGCTAAATAGAACCTTTGGAAATTTTCGCAGGCTTTGGTTATTTCTTCGGGGAAATTGCACCTTGGACTTGCTGATAAATTCATAGGCCAAAAAGTAGACGTAAGTACCGTGACGCTAAGTTCTAATTTTGGTCGCTGTAATTTTTTTAGAGAAAAATCACTTTTGTTTTAATAAGGAAGTTTAAATGGTTAAATTTTTGAAATTGTTAAATTTAATACAAACATCTGAATAACTTTTATCCAAAAATTCTTTAAAGTCTGCCATAGTATCTAGTGAAATTCTCATATCATTAAACATTCCTTCAAGTTTAGTGGTAAATTGATATCCGCACTCAATCTTTTAGCAATAAAATGAATGAATAAATATATACACGCATACACGCACCCTAATTACTAATTAGTTATCAATACATAATAAAAAACCAAAATACCTTAAGTTTTCCTATCATTCCTCTTTCTGCGTCATCACTGACACTACGACCTAATAATAATCGTTTAGCTAAATGTTGTTTATAATATCGTTCAAACACATCTTTTTCCCCAATGAAACGGAATAATGTGATTGTTTTGTCCAGCACATTATCCACTTCCTCTTCTGTTTTCTATAATAATTAATTCATTATTTGTGTAAATAATAAATAATCAATTTTATCAATATGAAATGATTATCCGATGCTCTACAAATGTATATGCATACCCCTTTTAATCCTTTCTTGAGATTATCATCAATAAATAATGAAATAAATTCTGGTGATTTAGAATTATTGTTTATGAAAAATTCAAATGCCTAATAATCAAATATAATCAAATATTATATAATTATATAACTTATAAATTTATATTTATAAGCATATAGATTTTATATTATTAACCTCATTAAATGATGTTTGAAATGATTTATCGCTTGACAAAGCAAGGTTCTGAACTTTATCGAATTTATCTTTAAGATCTAAAACTTCTTGAACCCATCGTATTGCAGCAATAGTTCCAGTCTGTTTTTCACCATTAGAGGCATTATTTGATCCTTCACCGGTAGTATTTGACGAACTACTTGTCACTTTTTCATTTATTCCTTTACCAAGTTCACGTATATAATTACTGATCGAGGTTTTCATTTCTTCGTGACCTTTCGACACTCGTCCAAATAATTTGTACATTCTTGCCAAATCTAATAATAATATTATATATATGTTTTTTAAATATTATAAATAAAACATTGTATACACGTCTATATTTAAATACTTTACATACCGTCCATTTTCTCATTTCTTAACATTGGTATCAAACCTGAGTTCTCCATCTATAATTAATATAATTGGTTTAAAATTTCAATTGATTATATTATAATTATAATAATATTGATTAAATATATGCATGTAAGATAATTACATCAATTACTGTCTTGAGATGTTTTGAAATTAATTCTTCTTCAACAATTGCCCTAATTTTAGCCTCTGTAGTAGAAGATAAATAATTGCGAACTCTCTGTTCTTCCTCGATAAGTCTTTTTTCTACCTATATTAATTCATTTTTTTTTTAATAATAATAATATGATAAAATAATAGTTGATTGATCATGTAAAATTTAACAAACCTTTTTCATATATTCTGGTGCATCACAATCGCTTACAAGCATTTGACCTTCAACTCTGTAATATTCTGCACTAGTTTCTAAAAACCGACCTTCAAAATCAATATCGTATACAGTGCTTCCAGTATCTGCATCTATTAATTGTAATAGCATATCCATTGCTGCCTTCACACTTGATCGTTCGATCATCTCATTTTCACGTTCAAGTTTAATTTGCTGTAGAAGAACTTCTAGAAGATGTGTTTGAATCGGGTATTTTTGAGATCGAACAATTGTATCCCTAAAAAGTTCCAAACCTAAATCATATACCAAAGGTACATTTGCAGATTTGGCATATACACGATCCTTTTATGTAGTGTGTTTAATTTGTTAAATATTGCCTATGAATTGAAAAATTACTCGAAAATACATTTGATTCACAAAAAAAAAGGGGAGAAATAAAATTTTCCGAAAGCAATAATTAATTAATGTGTATAAATAATTACCATATACATAAGTATATCCCTTATCATAAGCATACAAGTTGTATGGTCTTCCCAAACTTTCTTTAATACCTCTAAAAATTTTGCACCACCAGCTACATTTGTATGGTTTGCATGTGAACTGCTTGCACCAGATTTTGGAAAAGCAGGTACAACATGTGCGAAAGCAACTTCTTCTAAATGTTGAGTAATAACATCCTTAACTCCGTTATATAATTTATCGCCATTCTTATGGAGTACCATGTTATAAGCATTACGATATAATTCTTCAAAACTTAGGATCGATGCATTTTTTCTGTGAATTTCCCTAATGGCTTGTGCTAAGCGTTCCCAATTATCGCTAAATTGACTATCGGCTGCATTCTGTGAATGATGAAACATTGTTTTTTTAATTTAAAGTTAATATGTAAGTTATTGATTAGCAAATAAATGTTATTTGTTACGTAATAAAAAAAAAACTAAAAAACAACAACAATAATTTATGATAAATTTCTAAAAAAAGTTTAATAAAAAATTAAAAAAAATTTAAAATATAGTTATATAAATGGTGTTGTTGACGTTTTCTAAATTCGAAAATAACTTAAATTAATCTCAATATCGTATATTCTATATAATCTATAATAAATGATATCTAGATTTTGAACCTTATATTCGTCTAATACTAGATCACACAACAAACAAGTTCTCATGATCTATAACTTAAAGTTGATTTCAAAAAAAACTACACTCACAGGTCTCTTTGGTGGCTTTATTTTTCCTTTAGAAGCCGGACGTCGAGTGCTCATATTGTTTATAGGTAGGTTAATAGAAAAATTATAAAGCTACGCTTTAAAGCAAAAGGAAAAATTTTCCTTAATCCGGAATATTTTTATAAACAATTTTTATATAAAGCGTTATAGATGAATTATTCTTAAATTTATTTGCTTTTACGATTTTCCAACGATTTGATTGTTGTTTTAAAATAGATAAGAAAGAGTTAAAAAAGTTAATAAATATTAAAGAGTTATTTTTTTTTTGAAAATATAAATATGTGGGGGCTATTGAATAAGATTCCCAATTCAGAGTACTGCGGTTTCCTATTTGCGTCGTATGTATACTGCAATGTCGCAGGACAAATATCACACTAGTACTAGAAAAATAAATATAAATTCGGGAAAAATGCGACTAACTAGTCACTTTCGCGTGATAAAAAAACGATTATTATTAATATTTTATTTTTTACAATAGTAAATTCCTTACAATCAAAAAATGATTTTTTTGCAAATTCTCTCAATTGAGTGATAATTTCTTATATTTTATTTATCAAAAAAATTTTAAAAATTATATGCAATCTTCCACAGTTGACTGTGACTCATAATCACTCGCTGTATTCAAATCAATGGATGACTCTTTAAAAAGACTAGCTTTTTGGGTCATGGATTACAATTGATTCAACTAAACCAACGCCTTATGATTTAAATCGTATTCCCTTTTTACCAGATGGCATATGGAAGAGCTTTAAATATGTAACTTCTTCATCTTCTAAAAAGCTCCATTCGTGAAAGCTCTTAAAACCAGACTTTACTCTAATTGGAGAAAAAAGTAAACAATAATAAAATGGATTTGTGCTATTCGCTGGACATACAACCAATGCTTAAGAACAGTTAATATTGATATAAAAAATAAAATAAATGAAAATTATATCAATAAATCTGAAAAATTTACATCCATTGACTCTAGTCTCGAATGGGTTCATAGCACCTTTTATGGTATTAGAGATGCAACAATGATTGGCCTATTATTGAATAGTTATAAGTCAAATATTCTCCAAAAAAAAGCCAATTGTCATTACAGAGGTTGGAGGACTATTCATTCCTCAAAGATATTAATTAAATCAAGTGAGAAAATACCTGAAATAAAATATGACTATCATCTCGCCATGAATCGTCTTGGCGAATTCTACTTATGTATCCCTAACCACCTGGAATTAAACCCGATAACCAAGGTCCTAAATTTTCGGTGGTTGAAGAGAAATAGAGGTGCTGACATTATTTTTCTGATCCAGAAGTGAGAATTTTCATGGCTGTATATAGTCCAAGTGGCGAGGTTATAGAATGGGAAAATCAAAAAATAAATAGATTATATCGCTTGTGCTTGCATTATGATAGAATTCAAAGTGAAGGAACTCTATTCATGGTAAAGCAAATAAGCGTAAAAGGATACAAGCTTTGTTGATACATGCTCTAGATCCACAAGAAAATTCGTAATCTGGTGGATGAGTATTGAAAATTTGCAATGGTTATATGAAACCATCATGTTAATTTACTTCCTCAATTTAAAACACAAGACATACCAAAAATGACAGTTTTAAAAAGATCCAATCTAAAAAATGATGACCTGGACATACTTCCATAAATCTTGCGATTATCTTTGTCATCTGCACCGGAAAATACACTTGTAAAACATGTGGATGTTGTGGACGTATCAAACAAAATCTTGATCCTTAAAACGTTTAGATGTACATCTTGCAAATCAACCATTAAACAGAGTCCCTTAACATGTTTTTAAAATGCATTACAGAAGTATGTCAAGAATCGCTCACAAAACGTTAAGGCTTACACTGAAGCATCCCATTGTAAACTATCTATGTGGGACTTGTACCAAGATATAGTATTTTTAATTTTAAATTCAAAGGTTTGCGTTAAATTTGTAGCATGCATGATGGAAGTTCTATTTATCACGTCTATCACTTCGTGACGATCTCGAAATTGTGTTGTGTGACTGTATTGTTTTAAAGTACTTCGGTATTAATATATTCAAATAAACTTTGTAATTATATGTAAGATGAAAAAAAATAATATAGTTTCTTCTCTAATGAAATAATTTTTCTATTAGAAGCAAAGGAATTTAAATAGCGACTTCGCTTTATTAGAAAAAAAACCTTTTTCCCATATAATCACAGATGAGACTCTACCATTAGATGTAAAATCAAACATAGATTGTTATTTAAACATGTGGCATCTCTAATATGTCAATATCTAAAGAGGTATTCTTCATGGAATTATTAAACTATTTTTTATATATAATTTAATTACAGGTAAGTAATTTCTTACTCTCTTATGAATAAAGGCTATCTTTTATATTACAAATTCAAGAAAAACTGCAGATAGATGTAATTTTTATTGAATGGAATATTGACGCCTTATTTATCTATCTATTAATACTTGTTTTTATTAATAGTTATATATGCAATTAATTATTTGAGTACAACATAATATGATGAATGAACACAGTCATACTATTATTAAATATTATTACTTTATAACCAATTCATAAATGGAACATTTATGCAAATTTCTTTGATTTAACTTTCTCTAACGTAATGTCATCAAATATAATAATGGCAAATTGAAAGCAGTATTATCATTAGCAGTAGCATTAGCAGTAGAACAAGAATAAGATGACAGTGATAGTGGTAATATAGGAATAAACTCTCGTGTATATATATATTTATTTACACATTAAATTTTTTGTTCGTTGTGATCACCGTTACACGTTCCATATAAATCTTGATTTCCCTGAAATTTCTAATTTTGGTAAAAATGTAAATTTTATTTTGTCACATTTTATATCCAATAAATTAAACATCCCCATGCTTAAATTTGTGTGATTTGTGTGTGTGATACAAACATATTGTTAAAAATCATTTGTTTATTTTTGACAATTTAATTATTTAACAAATAAAAAAAATTATTTTAAAAAAAAAATTAATCATTAAAATCATAATCGTTGCCTTGCAAAAAATATAATAAATATATGTAAATAGTGTACATTTGAAATAATCTTGATTATTCATCATCGTCGTTATCTTCTTCACCATCGTTAACAATATTATCCGATGTATTATTATTTTTACTGTTATTGTTACTACTGCTACTGCTGCCACCTTCCCCATAAGGATTGTCTGACCTATTCTCATTTTCATCAACAGCTTCTTGGCCATATACTAATTGTTCTCCTTCATGTTCTTCTGTATTATCACTGTCATTATCATCGACTTCGTCATCTTGTTTATATTTAGAAAGATCCCAGCCTTCATCATCGTCATCATCATCAATTGATTGATTAACAAGATCTGGGTTAAATGTGAAAAGATCACGACCTGACATTCCTTGTGATTTCCCTGCCTTGAATGCAGCTTCTTTGGCAGCAAGTTTAAGTTCCTTGTCTGCGTCTTGTTTGGCTTTACGATTTTTCTTCCATTCTGTAAAACTCTCAAAAGTAACTGGTGTAAGATTAGATCCTAAATTATGTCGCTACAATAATAATAATAATGGCATCATCATTATTAAGCATAACTTAATAATCAACGAAAATTATAATTATAGTGTAAATATTTACTTCAGTTTCCAAAAATTCTTCGAGCGTTATCTCATCGATTTCTTCTTCCTTAACTTTTTTGCTCTTGAGCACAAACCCTGGTGGAAGAGCGTGTTTATATTTACAAGCTTTTCCTAATTTATTCAAATATAAAAGTAATTTTTAATTCAGAAATATTTTTTCCAAAATAAAGCTCATTTTTAATAATAATAATAATAATAAATAATAGGTAATACGAACAAATCTTTAATAGATCAGCTCACCTCCATTTGGACATTCCCAAAACCATCCATATTTTTGATTTTCGATTGCCTCCAAGAAATATTTACATACAATATCTGTTGTTGTTTTAGGATTACCATGTTTTGACGTAACAACTTCTTCCAATTTTTTCTGATCCCATTTATCAATCGTGTCTAATATTAATTAGTGACAATAATGTTAATAGTAAGATGGTTGCAATATTTACCACATAAATCATTGATACAATATTCATATGTACACATAAATGTACATGAATAGAACTAACACTTACCATTTTTTTTTGCTTCGTCAGCCCTAGCATCAGTGTACAGATCAATCTTTGTACTTTTTCTTTCTACCGCCATATCATGAGAAAATTTACATTTATCACCTTTTTGACATTGACCAGCTTTAAAAAATTGACATAATACAGTTTTAGGGTCGACGCCAAACGGTACCTTTTGTACTTGAACAGGTTTAAATAATTCTGCAAGTTCTTCTTTCTTTTTTTGTTCTGCTGCTTTCTTATTTGCGAGTGCTTGTTTTTCTTGTTCTTTTTCTTTCTATATAAATCATGCATTTTTTTTTAGAAAATTAATTTTACAAAAAAGTCATTAAAAAACAATTTTAATAAAATACCAGTGCTTTGTTATTTCCTGGCTGCATCACTTGATTTTGAATCTGTTTGATTTGTTGTTGGACCTTGGCAGATTTCTTTTTATTTTTTAAACCAAAGGTCTTGTCCTCAACAATCTTTTGTTTATCTTTTTGTTTTGATTTATCTGATTGTTGATTAGTTTTCTTGGGAGGCATTTTGACAAAATTTTATCGAGTTAATGGTTGATTAAATCTTTCAAACAAAAATTTTTCAGTATTAGTATTATAGTGTACGTGTAACCTGATCTACGAGAAGAGAAAAAGTTTTTTTTTTTTTAATTTTTAAAAAAGGAAATGTCTGATCCAACAATATTTTCAAATTTCATACCTACATCCTTGAATGTTATTCGCTGTGACAATGATAACGACAATTATAAAATGTGTATAGTTGCAATGAAGAGCGGAGAGGTAATTTTTCTCTAATACAACCATATACTTTAAATAGATATTATTATTATATTATATTAATATGATTAATTATAGAAAATATGTTTTCAAGGTAGTCTTCTTGTTGCAACAATTTATGGAGACGCATTAATTATGGGATATAGATTAAAAAGTGCAAAATCAAAATTTTTAGAAAACAATTTTAATAATTTTGAAGGTGAAAAAGAAATGGACATTCTATTTCATCCAGTGTTCTCACCTAAAACACATTCACTTTTAGTTATAGAGTCAGTTGAGAGACAAGATTTATCATCATCGTCATCATCATCATCAGATAATAAGGAGATTCATTCTAGTATTAAAGCATCAAATGGTATAAAACATTGCATCAATGAAATGTTGAAAAAAAACAACGAGCACAACATATTGAGAAATGGTTATGACACCATACTTGTTTTCCGAGATATTGTTTCATGGTGTGGTATTAAACATTTGGGAATTGTCGCACCAATATATAGTGATATTTTCATTCCTGATGATGACAAGTATAAATCAAACATAGAAAAACAAGATTTTTTTCAAATTCCAGGATTTTATCCGGTATGGTTTACTTGATAATAATAAAAATAATGATAGCAATAGTAATAGTAATAGTTGTGTACGAGAAAATTTACATAGATTTATAATTATAAATATATATATATATAATATATATATTAGATTTTTGAAATGATAAATGAAGAGGGTGTTACATCTTTTAAAATATTAGATTCTTGGAAGCATGCAGCAGATGAAATGGAGACTGGCTTAATTAAGTATGGCATGTACTCAATTAAATAATGAATAAATATATGGGTTTATTTGAAATTATAATATATATAATTGATATATTCATATATTTTATTGATTAATTATTAGGCATACCACTAATAGGAATAACCGTAGGACATAAAAATGTTGGAAAATCTAGTTTTTCTAAATATTTACTTAATAGATTACTTAATGTGTAATTATTAACGAAAGTTTTTGTTTATTGATGAAACATTAAATCGAACAAATTTAATTCTAAACCCGATTATTTTGCAGATGTCCAAAAGTTGCGTATCTTGAAACAGATATTGGACAAAGTGAATTTACACCAGAAGGAATTTTGTCACTCAATATTATAGAATCACCTATTCTTGGTATGTGTCATATCTTTCAGTAATAAATGATAACGATGATGATAAATAAGACTAATAAGTAATTAATAATAATAATAATAAATAACACATATGGTGAATAATACTAATAATAATTATAATTAATAAGGACCATCATTTACACACATTCAACAGCCGTATTGTTCGTATTTTATTGGTGACAATAACCCAAGGGACAATCCAGACTACTATTTGGAATGTATCCAACAACTAATAAAAGTATATCGTCGTGAATTTGCATGTGGAACAGATTATGGAATGCATGGTGGTGGTAATATGACGATGATGGGTGATGATAATGATGGAGATGGAGATGAGATAATGATAAAAGGTGTTCCATTAATAATCAATACACACGGTTGGGTTAAGGGAATGGGGCTTGATATTTGTTACGAGGTTATAAAATTCTCTAAACCGACACATATATTTCAATTTCATTCCGTTGATCAAGAAATACATAATTTGCCAGCATTTCCAACCGATTTGATATCTTCATTGAAAATGACGAATGAATCGACAGCTCTTAAAATAATAAAACTTGAATTTTTTGATAATTCCACCATTTCCAACAAAAGATATACATCTTCAGATTATCGAACCTTGAATATGGTATTTTATTTTCACGGAAATTATAATAATGGAACACAAGATGATGGTAATGATGAATGGTGGCAATTTCGTAAACCGTTAGTTAGGCATTTACCATGGTGTTTGAATTGGAAAAGATGTTTAACTAAAGGAGTAATGTTGATGTCAGAAGAGGTACCTTATAGTCAATTATTGTATGCATTAAATGGGTCGTTGGTCGCATTGATTGGAGATAATAATTCTGATCATTATTATTTTCAAGAAGATGAAGGATTATTTGATGATGATAATGAAGATGATTCAATGATAATTGAAAATCAAGAAGAACATGGTCATAAAAAGAAGATTGTAAGCGTTATATAAATACATAATTATTGAATATTTATATTATATATTTATACGTGAGATAATATGATCTATTTTAGATACCACCAAAATATAATCTAAAGAGATCAACACTGCCATCACCAACAGAACATCAATGCCTTGGATTAGCAATTATACGATCGATTGATCCAACCAACCACACATTTCATATACTAACACCACTCCCGCCTACAATCCTTTTCAAGACCAATGCAATAATGAAAGGAAATTTGGAACTGCCAATATGGTTCATGATAGATAATGGTGGCGATGATGATGATTACCATTCGAGGAGTAGGAGTAGCAAAGGGGTGATGGTGTCGTTTGGAGTTTGTGGAATACCATGGAATAAGTTACCATATATGAGTGTTGAAGCGGGCGAAGGGGTAGGTAGTACTGCTAGAAATAATAGGAGATATCTTAAAAGACGTCAATATTCATAATAAATATGTAAAATTATCCCCTTAATTCTTTAATTTCGGGACCACGTGATTCGCACAAAATAATGATAATTTCACATGGAAATTCATTTATTTATCTCAATTGTCATTATTGCTATTATATACATTATATATTGTGATTACATAAATTGTATCTGTTAAATGCCATAAAATCGTTTTCTATTCTTTCTATTTCCATATACTGTATAATTAATTTATATAGTTTAAAGTTGATCATTCTGACAATTTCAAAATGTAATAATAAAAAAATCTATTTGATTATCAATGAAATTTTTTTTAATTTGTTGATCGAGAAAAAATTTTTTTTACAAGAAGGTAAAACCACGAGTAACCAAATAGTGTTTTTTTATTGAAACATGTTGTTTGAGAAACAATAAACAATATAAACAATATTTAACCAATAAGAGAAAATCTAGATAAAAACGGAAACAAGGCTAGCCATAATTATCATGGTGATAGCATATACTAGTCGAGAGGAGAGTGAGTGGTTTCTTAAAAAAAACAAACAATATTCAAAAAAATCATATTGTGGATCTTGAACAAATGCTGATTAAGTCAACGAATGAATGACACATTCAGATAACAAATTAAATCGCGAGATGACAAATGGGATTAAGATCTTAAAATCGAATTTGAAAAAAAAAAAACGGTTTTAATTTAATGTTTACTTGCCATATATAAGCTAGATTTAGTATGATGTGAATTACTCCTAGCTTTTGTTAATTGTTAATTCGATCGATTTAATTAATTGGTTAAATAGCACGTATACGTGCAATATTGTCATTATTAACTTTTTTTTTTTTTCATATCACAAACCCAGATCTGGTACCAAGCAAGGGAAAATTAGGAAAATGGTAAAAGCATATAATGCTCTATCTAATACCAATAATACTAACGACCGAAGCTGTAGAAAAGAAAATAGTATTGTATATCACATTGTATGCAATATTTATTATAAACACAGTATATAATTTTATTATTATATTTTATATTACAAAAAGGAATCCGAGGGAGCTGGCAGGCAGGATCCTGGACAATCATATCAGATTATTAACAAAATTCGAAAAGTTTTTGAGTTGAGCTTTTAGCATTTGTAATGATGGAGTCACTGGTATGACATGATTGCAATAAAATTTTTTTTTTACACACACTATATATATGAACATTCGCTCACTAAAGATAAAAAAGTTAAAAGTTACATCATCATCACCCTTACCTTCGGTATAGTATGTATTGGAATACCATTTTAGAACCAAAATTTGCCGATCATTTTATTAATTTAATTTAATTTTCACGATACGAAAAAAAAAAATCTAAACAACAAATGCATTAATAAACGATCAATAATCTTAAAATAGGAAAAAAAATTTTTTTCTAATAATAGAAATAATGAATATTGATTAATATATTTATATAGTAATAAAATCAACAGAATGTAAAAGCGGAAATGATGGGGAAGCAGTAAAATGAGAGACACAAAGAGAAAACACACAAAGAAATGATATTATAATAAATTGATGAATGAACGATGCATTATATTTTTTAAAAAAGGTAAAATCATAATTGCGTGAATGAGAGATGAAATAATAATAATAATATAATGTAATATTGTTGTTGATTATTACGGAAAACATAAAATAAGATAGAAAATGATTTGTCACGTACGTGGTAGAAAATTTTATTTTTTTTAATTGGTAAGAACTATAATTAGATAACAAAATAATGCAATGTAAATACAAGATCGATGACTCTTTTTAGTGGCTCAATGTTTTAAAAGCCATGATGTGCTAATGACTGATCTTTACTAATAAGTTCAATAAGTTTCTAAGAAACTTTTATTTGTCTTATTAATGGTAAGATTTTCAAATATATTCCATATTGTACATTATTAATTAATTAATTAATATTAATATAACAATTATATTTATCACATCTTCTTTCCAATGCAAACATAATGCGGTAGGTTGTCAAATGACTAAAGCAATTGCCAAACAAACATATGAATAAATAAATAAATTAATTAATTAATTAAAATTTCAACCAAGACAAAGAAAAAATAAAAAATAAGCAAATAATAATATTAGAAAAGACGCGCGAAACCCCTTTGGATAGAACAGGTTTCAAATGCGGGGGGAATAAATTCTCATTGTATAAATAATGAATGATATTTATAATATAGACATCCGATTAATTGTATTATTAATTAATTAATTAGAAAATAATTCATTTTAACCGTAAACGGAAAATTTTATTTAAACGAGATTATTATTATTATCAGAATCAGTAATTACTAATTTTTTATGGAAATAATTATAATAGTGCCGAAAGGGGTGAGAACATTGATAAAATTAATATAACGGACGTGAAAGAAATTTGTCATGAAATATGAAATATTTTTTATTTTTACTTGAACTGCCAACTTCAAGAATTTAAGGTGCAGAATTCTAAATACTTTATTTTTTACGCGTTTGATTGCCCAATAAATACGCAGAATTACCCGTGACGAAATTATGATTCTGTGCGTACATGGAATTGTTTTATTTGGTTTAAGAAGCATATTTCTGTCGTATAACAGTTAAAATTTTGACACATTAATTAATAAATATTACAAATTTAGAAAAGATTAATATTAAGTTATCATTGATATCGATTACTCTATCTATAGTAATCGTAATTATCTCATTGGTGATCGATTACGCTGGTTAATTGATTAATCAATCGGTCTTGATCGATTGACGGATTAGTTTTTTGCTGATAAATTATTTTTTAAAAAAATCAGTAGATAGGCTAGTAAAAATTTTTTTACTTGGTTGCCAAAAATGCATTGAAAAAAAAAAACTCTCATTGTTCCCAATTACTTGGGATGAACGACCAGGTTCCAGGAAAACATCCAATGATAAATCCAATAATAGTAATGATAACTACTTATTACAATTACCAAATTATTTATTTATTTTTAATTACTATAATTATTCTTTTCTTCATCATCTTGGGTGTGTTATAAAAAAAAGTATTTGATATTTCTTAATCTTATTGTTTATATTTATTTATTATTTATTTGTTTTTTTTTATTTGCTTGATACAACATTTCTATATTTTAAGAATGGCACACACAATAAGTCCCAATTATGCTCTATTAATGTATATATTATATATAATACAAATAAAAAAAGAGTAAATGTGTGCGTGTGGATGGAATGCAACAGAGTAAATAAATACACTACTCCTTATAAGCAAGTCTTAACCAGATATATATAATATAATATAAACTTTATTTTCATTATTAATCCATTTTTATCTTTATCAATTTAACTTGTACTAAAACCTGTTTTCAAAGTGACATCTTTACGCGTTAACATCACGCCTTTTGATCTTTCCTCTTTGATTAGAAAATTTTGCTTAGCCCCATCCATATGCGTGTGTATGTTAGATTAGTCAGACAATATTTTTTGATATTATTATTTTTATTATTGTTGAGCAAATAATAATAAATAATAATAAATCTAATATGTAAATCTATCTATGTATAAATAAATAAGTCCATCACCGACACCATTATGTATAGCCACCGTGACTATTGATACGGCGTTCATTCTGATTCATTTTGTTTTAATTAAATCTTATTTTGGAGAAAATGACTTTATTAATAGATAGATAAAAATACATATATATGTATACTCACTCGTATTTATATGCATTTTAGTTACAAAAACAACGTGAGATATTTATTTTATGTGTCATCTCTATTAAAAACAACACTATCATCATCGTCGTCATCATCATCGTCGTCGTCGCCGTTACTACCATCGTCGCGTTTTTGAGTTTTGAGTTTTGATGTTTTTATGCTTTAAAAAGCAACTTCACAATAATAAATGATATAATGACATAAATAAATAATAAATAATAACAAATAATAAATAACAAATAACAAATAAAAACTTCCTATTGCTTGCTTGGTAATAATCTAATCATTACTATCGGTGGTTCCTTCAAAAAACAACAAAAAAAATTTAAAAAATTGTTATAAAAGAGCATATATGGAATGATCGGCAATATGTTTTATTTTTATTATTGTAATTATTAACAATAATATAATACTGCATATTCATTTGAGTATTTAAAACTGGTTTTGATTCCAGATAGCCTGATATACAATTGGTTGGCGCTTCTGAAGTCGGTATACAATTAAATTCATTATATCGAATGATCCAATATAAAATGGAAAGTTACACGCATGGTTCAATGTAAAATTTGAACTTATCGATTTACGGTTAACTTTTATATGTATTATGTGGTTTAATAAGCCTATTTATAATTCCATTTCTAATTAATAATATTTTATTTTATAGAATTTAAGCTTTATGCCTCAATCCAAAGGAATATGCGATGAGACTTTGGGGAAAAGCTCGGATTGGCTAAAAACAGTTCTCAATAAACAAGAAATTCCTCCAAACTTAGCTTATTGGGCTTCTTGGTCTACTTGTACTGATGACTCTAACGCATCGCGAAGCAAAAGAACAAAAATTGGAAATTCTATTTCCACCACCACTTCTCCATTCATTTTCAAATCCGTAAACCCTCCAAAACAACAACAACAACAACAACAACAACAATTGCTGGAATGTTCTTCTCCTTTTCCCGACTCATCTAATATATCTCCCAATAGACAAGAATCTTTCTTTTCCAATACTTCTTATTCTCCATTCTCACCAAATTTATTGACCGAGGATCTTGTTAGTAAAGTTATAGAGGTTCTGAGTAGTACTTTAGATGAGATAAAAAATGAGATATGGAAAACTTTTTTAAATCCCAATGAAGGTAAAGGTAAATATGTACAAGTTATTATGGTGTGATTATTATTATGTGTTATGAAATATGGATTACGGGTTGTTGATAAGTAAATTTTTTATTATATTATAGTTTATAAATAAAAAAATTTTAAAAAAATAAAAAAAAACTTTTTTTTGTTATTTATTTATATAAAAATAATTGTGAGTTAAATCGTGGCTTATTAAAATTTCTATTTTTTCTCTCGATCATAATTAGATCAAATACCAAAAGGCTTCATTTCTGATTTTAATAAGTTAATATCCAAGACACCATTTTCTCAATATCCAAATGTCCAACGCCAACCAATTAAAAATTTGCAGCACCTTATATCAATACTTTCAGTCGGGGTTCATTCACCTGAAACTGAACTAATTCATCAAGTTTTTGACTTCTACAGCCAAATTACAGCTTTCTTGACCGTCATTCACATGTTCTTTGAAGTTGTAGTTATGGACTTTTTATCGAAAGCAGATAGTGATAAAAATTCAAGGCGTTTAGAAATGGACCATTTTATGAGAATTTTTCATTTTAAAGACAATTTTTTGGATAAACAATTTCAATCACAAAGAAGCGAAGATGAAGATAAAACAAATGAGAGTTTAGATTCTTACACATGGTACTATCATAAAAATGTTTTCGAAAAAAATTTTTATCATTTAGATCTTTCAAGAACTTTTCAAAGCCATTCTATACGTTTTAACACTTTAGAAACTATAGAGTCAATCCTTTCTTTTTTCTACACAAGAAATTTTTTAAATACCACCGCTAAAGAGCATCAAAAAGACCATGGTCAATTCTATACCCCAAAAGAAGTAATTAAATTCATGTGGGATAGGGTTTTCATCAGCAGAGAAAATCAGACTTGGATCGAGAAATTATTTGTTTTCAACAAAATTCCTAACAACGGCAACTCCTCCACCTCTTCTGATGCTTTTATTCATTATCAAAATTGTAATTATGACAATAAAAGGAAATCACCGCATCATCACAATATAAATTCATCATCAGAATCTTGGGAATTTTTACCTAATGCTCCAATGGTTTTGGATCCTTGTATGGGAATCGGTTCATTTTTATGTGAATTTATTAATCGTGTAATCTTGGCTGCTAAACAAACCCCTAGTATATGGAACAATCCAAATGCAATTTCTAATCTTCTTAAATCTTTAGCAAAAAATATCTGGGGCATAGAAATTGATTCATTTGCATTTCATTTATGCAAATTAAACATCATCCTTCACCTATTACCGTTATACAAACGATTTAAAGACAATCCTTTTACGAAAGCCCTTAAATTAGATCGGTTACATTTATTTTGTAATGACACTTTAAATTTATTTCTTCCAAAACGTGAACATACCTGGGAATATGACAATTTACGGTTGCTTCGTTCTCCACATAATCTCAAATTTGATTTCATCGTAACAAATCCACCATACATGATCCGTAAGACAGGATTCATCTCTGAGCCTGATATTGAACTGTTTGATGAAAGAGTTCTTGGAAAAGGCGGCATGCAAGCATATGCTTATTTCTTTTGGTTCTGTGTGGAAAGATGTAGGGAAGAAACTGGAGAAATATGTTTAATAAGTGGTACGTATACATAGATTCATATATTTATTAATTAAAATATTATTATTATTTTGATTTGTACGACCTTTAGTCTATTTTTATAATTGATTTTTGATTTTTCCCATATACTTGTTTTGAGTCTTGTTTTGACTGCATTTGATTAACAATGGTCCTTCTTTTCTACACTTTAGACAAATATAAAAAGTAGTGTAACAAATTATTTACATTGTAAAATTATATATAGTCAGTTAGATTATGTTTTTATCTATCACTTAGATACGGCCTGTGTGCTACTTGATGATCAACCACTTTTTTTTTATAATCTTTTTTTATATCTATATTTGCATATCAAAAAATTTTTTTACTAACAGATTGATTATTATTTCTTAATTTCAAATAAAGCGAGTCAATGGATGAGTTTAGAATTTGCAGACAAACTGAGGTAAACAAGGAAATTATTTATAATATTTTTTTTTGAATGGCAAAAATAATTTGATTAATAAATATAAATATATATATATATATATATTTTCAAAACCAAAACAACAAGATTTTGGATGTGGGATAAATGTTATTTTGTAGAATTTTTTCAATTTGAACCTTTTAAAGTGTGGAGGAAAATACAAACCGACTCTTTAATTTTCCGATTACGTCGTCGTAGCGAATCAATAATTTCAAATGGATCCCCAAATGTTGGTCTATCAATCACAGCCAGCAATAAAGACGATAATGCTAACAATGATATACTATTTTTACGTTATATGAATCGTAAAGCTAGTCTTAAAGAAACTCTTCAGGCCTATGCAAACTTCGATGCAAGTAAACCACAATTTGACAAGGACATGCATCATAAAATCACTAAACCATTCAAACTCTCACACCAAAACAATTCATTTTCATTCACTTTTCTAATGCCAACATCAGCTGTTAGTGCCTATCTTCACTCTATAACCAATTTATCAGAAAATTTCAAAGAGATTACTTGGAAAAAAAAGATTGCATCACTTTATTGGATTTCATTTGGGTAAATTTTATATTACAATAATTAATTATTGTTTTCATAATACAATATAATTAATCAATTTTGTTTATCATTAACATTTAGATTAAAGAATCTTCATGAAAATCATTACATTCATCATGACTTACACAGTGGCAATGTTTTTTCATATAATAATGATAGGTCTATTATAGGAGATTTAGGATTATGTCAACAAGAAATAAACAAAAAAGAGAATCCAAGTAAAATTTATGGTGTTGTACCATACTTGGCACCTGAAGTATTATTAAAAAAACCATATACAAAAGAATCGGATGTTTATAGTTTTGGTATGATTATGTGGGAGCATACTACAGGCAAAAAACCATTTTACAATAGACCACATAATCATTGTCTTATTCAGGATATTTTAAAGGGAGAAAGACCTGAAATTACTGATGACACACCTCAATTCTATGCTGATTTAATGCAAAGATGTTGGGATCCTAATCCAGAAAATAGACCTGATGCTAATGAAATAGCAGAATGTTTTGAAAAATATTATCATAATCCTTCTAGAGAAGCAATGGACATTATTGAATTAGCAGAAGAACTCCTAGTAATTATCATTGAAGAAAATTATTTGTTAGATGATAAACATCATCCAGAATCATTCTATACAAGTCGTTCATTGAATGAGTTAATTCAGAAAACTGCATCATTAAATCTTTTGTCAATGGAATCAGTTGAGTAGTATAGTAATATTCAAAGTATATTTATCTCAAAATCTATTTGCTGAACAATCTTTGATTGTAATAATTTTATATAGATTTAATAGGCAGTGGTGATGATATTATTATTACATTTTTAGCTATATATAATTTTTCATTTACATTAATAAAATATTTTTTAAAAGGAATTAATATGGAAATTGTACCAGTTGTAAAGAATATATGAAAAAGATTCTATAATATTACATGTGAATTTTAAAGAATAAAAATAAATCAAAATAATATTTTTGTTAAAAGTAACATGCTTTAATTTACACATTGTACTTATCAGTTAATATTTGAGAAAACAATTATTAAAAAAAATGAATTGACAACAAAGAGAAGGTGATTTGTTGTAAAAATCCTGCAATGCATTCATCATAGGTTACTCTAATCAAGGCTGTAGTAAGGAGGTATCTGAATACATTTTCCAGAATATCAGGTATAGCTAATGGACTGCTCTTTTTTTTTTTTTGTTCTTGCCAATAACTTGGGTTAGTTCAATTATTTTGGTCAAATATCTCATATAATATAATATAATATAATATTCTTCATGGTGGTTAGAGTGTGTTTAGGCAAGAGACTTGTTAAATTATCTCATTTCATTTAAATTCATTTCATTAATAATGTTATTTCATAAATAATAGATAAAATAGTGTGAAATCATTTCATTCTTCAATTTCTTCAATGCATGAAACACAGGACAATTGAGCTTTGTAGAAATGATTTGATTCATTAAGATAAGATAATAATAAAAGAAAGCTGTGTTAGTATTAGAGATTGTGTATTCAGGCAGGAAGTGTCCCAAAATTTCATTCAAACATAACAATCACATTTAATAATAGCGTGCGCTCACAAATAATGATTTCACATTGTATATATGACAAGGCAAATGAGTTTCATAGGAATGATTGGATGATATAATGTAGCACCAAATAGCGATGTAATAAAATAACAACATAATGAATGTGTTTATGGTTTTCTGACGTAGCAGATGGAGAGAATTAGTATGAATGCCAAAATAATAAAACGTATGTGTAACAGTTAGAGCAGAAGGTAAAATTAGAGATAATTGACGTTTAAAAGTAGAAGCTGAAGTAGGAATGTTAATTGATTGATTTGATTTTCACGAAAAAAATCAATTATAATCGATTTGTTGCGAGTAGCTTTTTATTATTATTATGTTTTACGTTTATGGCCGAGTTTGAGTTAGCTTTTTAGGTACACTCGTCAATTAATTGCAGCTTTTGCATTCAATGCTCGTCAATTAATTTACGAATTATTTAACAATTACCCTGCCTATTGCCTCCCCTTTCTTGCACCTAGAAAGCTTCGGCATACTTTACGGTACAATAAACATGTTAAATGTGAAATAATAAAAATTTTATTTTCAATTTTATAAAAGATTATCAACAAATTTTTTATTTCTTTTCAAAAAAGGGACTTGATCAACAGACTGTGAACTAAGTCTGTTTTGCAACAAAGTAATTTGTTGCCCCGCATCTTTCTGAAGAAGGAATTGCAAAATATTTTTTGGCTAAAATAGAAAACATTGGGAATTATCACGCCACCATTGTTAATGGCTCATTTTCTTCAATAGGAAAGCATTTAAGGCAGGGTTGGCAAATTGACTGGTATATTGAGCACGGATGGACTTTATTGCCATTAATAAAATACTAAATATGTCTCCATTTAATTCTACTATTTCTCTATATTATTATATTATTTTTAAATTCAATTCAATCGACAATAAAATTTTTACTGATCACTTTTAATCAATTGCGGGACACATAATCAATTAACATCCCTAAGCTGAAGTTTGTTTATTTTGTATATAGCTAACTCGTTACTGGCTAATTATCTTTGTGTAGACCCCCCCCCGTGTTATTATTATTCTGGAATTTATAAATTTTCAATAGGTTCAAGTAATCCTACAAATATATATATATATATATATATAAGTATGTATGTATGATTTTTTTTTTTCAAAAAAAAAAAAATAAAAAAAAAAAGAATCTGATAAATAGTAATTTATAAATAATAGAAATAGTAAAATAAAAAAAAAATATAAAATAAGTAATACAACGAATCAGTTTAATGTGGAGGAAAAAATAAATTTTTGTTTTTTTAACATTTCAAATCATCAAAATCTAATCGAAGTCCTTTTAAGCTATAAAAAATGACTATATTATTAAATCTTGTTACAAATAAAGAAAGGAAAAGCAACAAACAAATAATAGCAATGACATAACATAGATGAAAAAACAAGAAATATATTTATCAGAAACAATTAAATGTCCTTCCTTTAATATAAATTTATGCAAGATAATTATAGACACGTCTATTAATAATAACAATAAAATAAATAAAATTAATAATTAATTAATTTAAATATATATATATAATATATTACAGTAATTATTTATTTACCTATCACCGCTTGCTCTTTCTAAATATTCTCGTTCAATTAAAGCTTCAATTCTTTTCTTAATCATTGGAGGGCTAGGTACAAATCTTGGTTGTAATTGTCTTGAAACTTCGCCAACCAAGTTATTATGTTCCATAGTTTTACGATCTTTCATGATTCTTACAATTGCTGCTTCTGTTTGATGTTTCCTAGCTTCTTCGACCTTTTCTCTTGTATCTTTTCTTTCACCTTCCGTCTCTACTTTGCTTGCAACTGTTTGAATCTTAATACGTTGATAGTTTGCTGTAAAATCAGCATTGTAATAGAATATATCTCCATTATTTATCTCTTTTGATTTAGGTTCCTTTAATAAAATTTTATATTTAGCACAAGCCAAAGACTGAAGATTACGCTTTAAATCTGTTTCTGGAATATCACTTTCACCTTTTATTTGCTTTTTATATATGATAATAAATAATTTATAAATTAGTAATGATAATGATAATCTAATAATAAAAAATAAATAAAAAATTCTAATTACCTCATATGATAAACCCTCGCCATCAAGTAAATCATTAAACATTAGTAAAACAACCATTTGATATGTTGACACGTTGATTTCATGTTTACGTGCTTTAAAGGTAGCTCGAATATCAGCATTTCCCTAAATAAAATAATGATAAATCAAAGTATTAAAAAAAGATTAAAGTCGTAAGAAATAAATTTTATCTGTGCACGCATACCATATTAGATTGCCATGTTAGCCTTCGACCACTATGTCGTGCTAAATAGAACCTTTGGAAATTTTCGCAGGCTTTGGTTATTTCTTCGGGGAAATTGCACCTTGGACTTGCTGATAAATTCATAGGCCAAAAAGTA